GATGAAGAAGTCGCCATTGTTGATCGTAGGAAGAAGATGAACAGTTTGAACTTCCATTTATTCTAGATTACATTTGTTAAAATCATAGTAATATAATAACGCAAAATCTTCATTGCTGCTAATGAATGTGTACAGTCACGCATTCGCCTTCCTACGATAACCGATGATACTTGAAAACAATAACAACTGGATAAGCATAAAGTTTAGTGAGTTTCCCCAAGATAACCATACAACAAACATATTGGCATGCATATCGGGTCCACAATCATCAGATTGGATTACCCTGAGTATGTTGGTCTGCTGCCTCAACCCAACCGCTCTTCCCAAGACTCCGTGCCCACGGCTTACAGCCGACCCGCACCAGGTATCTTGGGGAAACTCACTAAGCTTTCTGCTTATCTAGTTGTTATTTTTTTGAGGTAATATCGGTTATTGTGGGAAGGCGAATGAATGTCTGTACACATTCATCAGCAACAATGAAGATTATGTGTTATTATATTACTGTGATTTTAACAAATATAATCTGGAACAAATGGTTTTTCTTTGTACGAGTTTTATAATGTGGATATTTACCTTAATAAAAATGAAATTTTTGGTTGTGAAAATTGGGACGTTACAAGTTGGTATCATAGCCCTGGTTTGAGGGATTTGAAGGAACACTTGTGTGAATCCAAACTCAAACTAAGATCCGAGAATTTTCACAAAATGTTTTTGCAAAAGATTTTATAACAAAAGGGTTGGGTTACGGACATAGGTTCGGCCCCTTGTCATGTTATTGTTTGATTGTTATCTTGTGATCATGAACATGGACCTTGACTTAACCTTGGTTTTACAGGAAGATCGGTGTGTACAGTCAGCCAGAGCCTGAACAGGAGAGTGGTTCCTAAAATACCCATACTTGTTATTTGTACTAAATTTAAATTTGTTGATATGTGAATTGTTATAAAAGTATGAAAGAGGATAAGCTAAGGTTCTTTCAGGGACTATTGGATAGTAATGCCTGATTTCTGTGATGCCTTATGATATAGGGAATTTCTTGTTATATGTTATTTAATTGTGTGATTGCTAAGTGTACAGAGATAAGAGTAGAGTAAAGTCTAGAATCATCTCGATGATTAAATCCAGAAAATGCCTAGTCAAGGGATGTATGAATTCATAATCGACCTGTTTCCCGACATGAAGCCGATTGCGAAAGCACCATATCGTTTAGCGCATACAAAGATGAAAGAGTTAATGACACAACTCTAGGAGTTGTTGGAAAAAAGTTTTATATGACCTAGTTCATCACCCTTGGGAGCTCCTGTACTATTTGTAAAGAAAAATGACGGTACAATGAGAATGTGCATTGACTATAAAGAGTTAAACAAAGCTACAATAAAAATAGGTATCCTTTACCTAAGATAGACGACTTGTTCGATCAACTGCAGGGAGCAACCGTTTTCTCCAAGATTGATCTCAGGTCATGCTATCACCAGTTGAAGATTAGAGAGCATGACATCAAGAAGACAACCTTTAGAACAAGGTATGGGCACTATGAATTCCTTGTTATGTCGTTTGGATAACAAATGCTCCAACGAGATTCATGGATCTGATACGTCGAGTTTGTAAACATTTTCTAGATAAATCTGTAATAGTCTTCATTGATGATATATTGATTTACTCTAAGAAAAACCAATATCATGGTAAGCATCTCCGAAAAGTACTATAAGTCCTTAAGAGAGAGAAGCTTTATGCAAAGTTCTCAAAGTGTGACTTTTGGATACGGGAGATATAATTCTTGGGTCACATTTTTAATCGGGAAGGCATTATGGTTGACCCAACAAAGATAGAAGCTTTGATGAAATGGGAGACGCCAAGGAGTCCCACTGAAATTCGTAGTTTTCTGGGATTGGCAGGTTACTATCGAAGATTCATCCGAAACTTTTCTTCTATCACGGCTCGATTGACAGCCCTGACCAAAAAAGGAGCTGCTTATACGTGGAGCGAGAAGAAAAAAAGAGATTTTGGTGAATTGAAGAAGAGGTTGCGTGAAGCACCAATCCTCGTCCTAACGGAAGGAGCTGATGACTTTGCGGTTTTCAGTGATGCTTCTAAGATTGGATTGGGATGTATCCTTACCCAAAGGGATAAAGTAGTGGCGTACACCTCAAGACAATTGAATCCCCACGAGCAGAATTATCCAACTCATGATTTAGAACTTGCAGTAGTGGTTTTTGTTTTTAATGTATATATCTTTGTGAGACCAATGCCAAGTTAGCTTAAGGCACATCAAGTATATTATTGACTATGTGGCACAATAAGGTTTATTGGGTTAGATCACCTTTATTTTGTTTGATTTACTGCATTGTTCTCTAAAAATTAGGATTTAGATTTTTACCTTTCTTCTTTTCTTCTCTCTAGTCTATACTTATCTTTCATTCTTTTTTGGGGACAAGAAATGTATAAGCTTGGGGAGATTTTCTAGGTGCATTTTATACACCATTCTAGCATGTTTAATTCACTCTTTTACTTTGCAGAACCATAATCCATGCATTTTACTTGTTTTGGGACAAATTTTGTCATATTTCATTTCCACACTTTGTATGCCATTTCTGGTGGTTTTGGAGGTTGAATATGACTCAAAATGGTGAAAAGGGTCGGAAGCAAAGTTGCGGATCTTTTGGAGCTGAAATCAAGAAATTCTATCAGTAGATTTGACACGGGTCGTGTCAAAATAGGCATGAGGGCAACACATGGGTTGTGTCACTTTTGACACGGGTCATGTCATTCTAGTATAATTTGACACGGTGGCATGTCAAATGAGGTTTTGGGCCATTTTCAACATTTTACTTTGGAGACGGAGGAATATAAGGCAACATAGTTTGTAATGACACGGGGCCGTGTCAGACGCGTAACTCGCTTTTGGCAGTTTTCGTTTATGATCTATTTCGGGATTTTGGGCCATTCTACACACCATCTCTCACTTCCAGGCGACCAAGGGTGATTTTTGAAGAGGGTTTTTAGTTATTAACTTTGAGAAAATCATTTGGAAACATTTAATTTATTCTTTGTAAGCAACTTTAGCACTTTAATTTCCTTTCTATACTTGTTGATTTTGTTCTAGTCATGTGTGGCTAGACCCTAGGTTTTCTAATTCTATGTCTTGACTTGTCGTTTGTTGTTTAATCGTATGAATTGATATTTACGTTCAATTTCTATCTAGTGAATTTGGTTTTGCTTCAATAAAGAGGTTGATCTTAATTTTGATTCTTATTAGCTATTTGAATTAGGATTAGATAATTCCAGTTATCTAAATTTGAAAATCCATATTTGTTTTGTGAATCAGACTTAGTAACATGCATTAAATTGATTTCCATTGAATGATTTTAGTGTAAACTTAATTCACACATCCTTATGCTCCCAAGCTTGTGAGGGGTATTGGGTGTTGTTGGGAACATTCACATAAAACTTAATGCAAATCTTGGTTTATGTCAAAGAGCTTATTTAGACTTGAATTCAAAGATTAGGTTAGTTTTAAAAAGCTTGTTTTAAACCTAATAAATTGGTGAAAGTGTTAGAGCCTGTTAACATTTCCAAGTACTAACTTGGATAAAAATTGAGTGAACATCATTTCTTAATTGAACCAGTTAATAAGACAATCAAGCATGGAGTTGGAATCTTTACATTTTTTATTTCTTTTTCATCTTGTTAGTTCTTTAACCGTCCTTTTACTTCTTGCAAAAAAACTCATATTTTGTGACTAATTTATACCTTGTGAAAAAAAGCATAAACAATTGTCTCGTGTCTCTGTGGATCGACCAATGCTTCTATGTATTACTTTTTAGTGCATATTTAGCAGTGTATTTGGAGTCATTGTGTACCCTTATCATTTGTTGGGTTTGACACCCCTAACATATATATATATATATATATATAATAATAATAATAATAATAATAATAAATAAATAAATAGAAAATAGACACAACATTATAAAATTCACTATTAATATTAAAAAACAAAAAAAATGATCAAATCATTACAAAAACAACTAATTTAAAGAAAAATACTTCTCCTAATAGTTTTAGATAAGTTAGTTTTTTCTTTATATAATTATATCATATCCTCTATGAATTTTGGGCCATGGGCGACCAGCCGGGTTCAGGGGCGGATCCAAGGGGATCCCGGGGTAGCCCGGGATACCCCTCAAAAATTTTTTGGTAGTGTAATTTTTGTGTACGAATACCTCAATTTTTTTTCGGTATAGTGTATATATACGCATCACTTCACTTATAAACACAAACAAACAGTTGGTCTACTGGTTAAGGCGTTGGTTTATTGAAGCAAAGGTCTTAGAATCGATTCTTGCTCCTTCCATATCTTTTAGTTAATTTTGTTTTATTTTTCCAGCTATTTTATCCCACATCGCCAAGCACATGTAAACTCAACCATTTTTGTCTATTATATAAGCTTGTTATTTTATCCTCATACTTCATTTGATATCTACTTTGAGTCCCACATCGATTTAAGTATCAAAATATAATTCTACTTCATGTTTATATAACAAGACTTGATGTTAGCTAAGGAGTCGATTAAGGTTTGGGTTTAAAACCGAAACCAAACTAAGGAAACCCAAGTACCCCGGAAAAATTTTGGGTTACCCTAAAAATAAAATTGGGATACCCCTTTACTTTCCTCTTGGCTCCGCCACTGCCCGGGTTGCCCACCGTCAGGACCGGGCTGCTTGTATAAAAGACAAAAATTGACAATGACACATATAAGAAAATGACAAAAAGGTACAATGGTCATTTAAAACTCTTTACCATGTGATTTTGAACGGTGGTAGTAAAATGACTACCCTTGCAAAGAAAATGAAAATGTAGGGATCTATGTTAAAAGAAATTCGTGGAAGACTTACATTTGTATTTTCAACCAACCACAAAGGACCATATATGTAATATCGTTTAGACTAAATCTTATAAGTTGCTTGTCACATTTCTTGAATTCTGTTGAAAATTTCGGAGCTAACACCCAGAGTTTTTGGAGTGTTTAAGATTGCAAATAAGATGTGGGCGAACAAGATTCGACTATAAAATTCAAGAAATTGCTTTGTACTGAAGAGTTTCGTTGAATTTTTGCTATATTAAAGCCGTCAATATTGTTGGCTTCTTCTCCATAAAGACCTTACTTTCCCCATCATCCTTCTGCATGCTCTCAACACATAATAAACTCACTTCAGTCATGGTGTTTTCAGGGTGGTTTACAATTTTGGCTGCTGCTGTTCTACTGTTTCATGGAGTTTCATTTGCTCAAACAGGTTCGATTCCAGTTCCATTTAATCCTTTTTGTCACTGTATATCTTAGGAATTCAAAATATCTTATTAAACTTATTGTAACATTTTCTGTAAAGTTTTACGTATTATTGAATGTACTAAGTTATACTTAAGACTCTTAATATTTTATTTCGTGGCATAATATTAGTTTTGGATATAACTAAATTTATATATCAAGTCAAATGTTTATAATTTTTTTATGTGAAATTTAGTTCAAAACAGAGAACATTTTATAAACATAAAATAAATATTAAAGTATTATGATTAATTAAAAGGGCCCGCTTTTTCTTTATTTCTAACTGTCATGCCTTTTTTCTTTTTCTCTATTTAATGAAAACGTACTAACCGCTTAAATAGATGAGTTCATGTAGTGTATCATTTTTATATATCCTGGACTAGGTGTGAGACCCGTATGTTATACGGTTTTGATAAAACAAAAAATTTAAATAAAAATTTATTAGAATTTGAGATTTAAAATTTAAAATTTAATTTTAAAAGGAAACATATTAAATACTATATGAGTAATAATTGTAATTTGTTGGTTATTTTCAATTAAGTCAATTATTAATTGATGTGTAAATATGATGTGTTAATTAAGAAAATATAAAAAAATGAGAAAATGACAAACGGAAAAAACATTTATTCAAAAATACCAAAAAATGACATGTGTCCAAGTTAATGAGAGAATGATATGTGGCAAAATTATTTTCATTTATTAAGGAGGATTTTCTTTATTATATTGTATTTTACGTTTATAAAACTAGAAGATACAATATATGGCACATTAATCTAACTCAAGTAGCTTTACAATAGAACTAAAAATAAAAAAAATATTGGAACTTAGTAATTGTGTATATCTATGGGTTACCTGGTAATCCTCGTCATTTTAACAGGCTAACCGTTATCTAAACTGGCAAAAAAAAATATTAATATTGTATCATTTCGTTAAAATATTACTTAAAATTGCACTCCATGCCAGTGCACGTAATATTATTTTTTAAAAACATATATAACAGCACAACTATTCACTACATAATGGTATTGATGTTTCATTTAAGGTCAGCTTTTATACCAAAAAATCATAATATATATATATATATATATATATATATATATATATATATATATATATATATATATATATATATATTGTGTAGTCAAAGTTTTTTTTTTCATAAAAGTGAAAAGTGATTGATTATTATTTGGATATCAAAACTGCATGTCATAAATATAATAGAGATGGATATATAATAACAGCTACATAAGTAGTGTTTACATAAATACTTTAAAATATAGGCAGCAAAAATTTAGTAAGATTTTCAAATAAAAAAGCTTGGATCCTCATGTTACAAGATAAATCGAGAATCTACATTTTGAATTGTTTAAAAAATCGATAAATTTTCAAACATTTTTTTTTTAGTTTTTTTCCCTTGAATAAACCCGACTTAAAATTGATAAATCTAATTATAATCCATAAGTTTTCTTTATTGTTATATCTATAAAGTATAAACAGCATTAGGACATTTAAAGTCAATTACAATTTTTTAAACAATGCATGGGATGATGCATAATTTATAATTTTATAATATGTTATATATTATATATATATATATATATATATATATATATATATATATTACGATTTTATCTGTAGAGTGGAAAAGTTTTAGAACATCATAGTTATAAAAAGGTAAAGTTTATATGGCTACATATTTCTCCTTCTTTTTTTGGACAAAAATAACCTTATAGAAAGTACTGATTTACGACACATTAATCTCTCTCACAGATCCAGGGTACAGCTTCATGCACCAAGCAACAACAGCTCCAATGGTCTCATACTACGATTACATAATAGTTGGTGGCGGCACCGCCGGCTGTCCATTAGCCGCTACTCTTTCCCAGAACTCCTCCGTCCTTCTCCTCGAACGAGGTGGCTCCCCATACGGAAACGACAACATCACCGATTTAGCCGCCTTTGGAGCCGCCTTGTCCGACCTTTCCCCTTCTTCTCCCTCCCAACGTTTTGTCTCCACTGACGGCGTCGTCAATGCTCGAGCCCGTGTGCTAGGTGGTGGAAGCTGCTTGAACGCCGGTTTTTACACCCGTGCCGGTGCAGATTACATTCGGCTTTCAGGTTGGGATGCAAGATTGGTCAATGAGTCGTACAAGTGGGTGGAGGATGTGGTGGCGTTTCAGCCGCCGGTGAGGCAGTGGCAGGCAGCGGTGAGGGATGGTTTGGTGGAGGCCGGAGTACAGCCTTATAATGGGTTTACCTACGAGCACATGTACGGTACAAAAGTTGGTGGCACGATTTTTGATCCAAACGGCCACCGTCATACGGCGGCTGATTTACTCCGGTATGCGAACTCAAGTGGACTCACGGTGTTGCTGTATGCACCAGTTAATAAAATACTATTCACGAGGCTAGGTGCGTGTGTGATTGTATGTTATGGATGAAAACTTGTACATTTATATCTGTGAACTGTGATGTCCTTTCTTGTAATTTCACAGGAGGAATACAAAAACCAAGGGCCCATGGAGTGATCTTCAAAGATGCAAATGGGGTCGACCACCGGGCTTACTTAAAGAGAGGATCAACCAATGAAATCTTAGTGTCGTCTGGGTCATTGGGAAGCCCACAACTTCTAATGTTAAGTGGCGTTGGCCCAAGAAGACAACTTAAGGCCCATAACGTAACTATGGTTTTGGAGCAGCCCATGGTGGGCCTAGGAATGTCCGATAACCCGATGAATGCGGTTTTTGTCCCCTCTCCTCAACCCGTGGAGGTGTCTTTGATCCAAATCGTGGGTATCACTCGCAATGGAACCTATATCGAGTCTGCTTGTGGTGAAAATTTTGCAGGTGGAGCTCGAACTCTAGATTATGGAATGTTTTCTCCCAAGGTACAAATCTTTGTAATTGGACCTAATTTAAAACTATAAACACATTGGGCCTTAGTCAAGCTTATATGCTAAACGCTTCAATCCCATAAAATTTATGGCTATTAATTTCTTTCTTGTTATTAGATTGGACAACTATCGACTGTGCCTCCAAAACAAAGAACACAAAAGGCGATAGACAAGGCAGTTGAGGACATGAAAGCGCTCCCACAAAGTGCTTTTGTGGGTGGGTTTATCTTGGAGAAGATCGTTGGCCCAATATCCACGGGTCATCTTGAGATTAGGTCTCGAGACCCGAATGTGAACCCATCAGTTACATTCAACTACTTTAAAGACCCTCGGGACTTACAAAGATGTGTGGATGGGATCAAGATCATCGAGAGTGTAATCGAATCAAAGGCATTTTCACCATTTAAAGTTGATTCTCTGTCTATAATAAATCTTCTCAACATGACTGCTAGTTCACCGGTTAATCTATTGCCTAAACATGCAAACGCATCAAGATCTTTAGAACAGTTTTGTAAGGACACTGTGATGACTATATGGCATTATCATGGAGGGTGTGAGCTTGATAGAGTGGTGGATCGTGATTATAAAGTTATTGGTATAGATGCTCTCAGGGTCATCGATGGCTCAACCTTTCGCAATTCCCCAGGAACTAATCCTCAAGCCACTGTTATGATGTTAGGAAGGTATCTAACAAACAATAACTTATAACTACTTTAGTATCTTTATATATTTTATAATTGATGCATGGAGATTGTGTTGACATGTGTATGTTTTGGTTGCTTATGATTTGTAGGTACATGGGGGTTAAGTTATTGCGTGAGAGACTTGCAACCGTTCGACCCAATAATTAATACCATTATTCATTAATCATCCCAAACTTTAAAGTTTATATCGCTTGATTATTATTATTTTTTTCAAAACTCAGTTTGTTTAGTTTTTTGGAGGAATGATGTAAGAAATAAGCATTCAGTGTTGATCCAATCATTGTTTTTCTTTTCGTTTAAATATTTGTATTACTGAGTTAATGACCTGAAATACATATATTTATGATGATTAGGTTGCATCATGTCCTATCTTAACATCAAAGGGTCCATTTGGTCACGTAACGTCTCAAAAATATTATATTTATAGTTTACATCAAATCGGGTGTGAAATCTTTTGGGTCTATGTTCATAATTTCATTAATTATGAAACTTCAAGTATATCCATACCATTGAAATGTGACGTTATATGTCAAATTGTAGGTATTGCTATCACAGTAGCATCACCGAAGAAAGGAGAAAATGACGTTGTCATAACTCATAACTATGTTTATTGACCTGGTCAAAATTAATATAAAATATTTTAAATAATATATTTAAATACAATAATAACTCAATAAATTCTCTAACCTTGTTATGACAATATGTTATCACTTTTTATTAATATTAAAGTTTAAATTACGTAACGTTAGATAAAACTGATTTTTCCCAAAATACATGGTTAGCAAAAAGCTATTTTTTTGTATAATGTATTAAATCTAGGCAAAACCGAAGAATAAAAAATATATGAGGCAGCATAAATAATAATACTCCTCAAGGAACGGACCAATAACAACCTGGAGGATCAAGATGCAAACTTTAGCAATCTCATGCAAACGAAGAATGTTTTGTCACCATTTTCCTGAAGAGAATAAAAAGTGAGATACCAAATTCCTGAAAATCACCTACAATTTGTGTGACATTAAGCCAAGTTCCATGAATAGATTTATTTACAAAAGGACTAAGTCATGAACTTTTTGAATGTTGAGCGTATTGATAGCACAAGGCCATGTCAAGTTCGGATCCAATTTTAATTTCCACAACCATTTAAGTGACCAAAGGCTCCCCACACCAAGTGTCCAAGTCCACCATCATTATTAGGGCGAAGGATAGTGTGTCAAGCTAAATAACAAAATTTTCTATTATTAGGCATCACCATCTTCATCCCAAAAATTTAACTGTCAAATGTTTTAAGATTATTTAAATTTCTTATAATAAATAGATTTTGTATCATGAGCTTAAACTTGGTTTTTAAATAAAAAAGTGTAATTTTTAATTCATTAATACATAAAAAAACTATGATCAATTAAGTTCATGACCTATTAGTATTACTATAATTATTACTATTTTTATTTTATTTATTATTATTGTTGTTCTTGTTAAAGCAATTATAATGTAAACTTTTTGAAAGTTTTATTTTTGAAATATCACCATTTCACAAGGCTTTAGATAACAAAAAATATATTTAACAAAATCATATTATTATAAATCTTCTACAGATTTGTAACGTTTTCAAAATCTATTTAATATATAATTTATGTATTTTTATTCATCTAAAATGTTTCCAATTGTCCTTCATTTAAAAACAAAAAAAGCTTGGTTATTAAAAACGATCCGGCGATTTTGGAAAATTGAATATCGACGTTCTGTCACCGGCGGGATCAAGGGGACTCTTCTGTTTGATACTCTTTATGTTTCAAATTGATCAAAAATTTTCTCCCTCCAAGTTCTTGAAATGGCTCAAGGGGATAAGTGGTCAAGACCCACTAGGAAATCAAGGGGTGATTATCGGGATAGGGTTGAATCGGGAAGTCGAATTCCTCACCGTGTAAGTTCTGAAATCAAGTCTTTTTACGTCACCAATTTCCCCGATACTGTGTTGACTATTGATTTGTGGAGAATGTGTGATCGGGTGGGTAAAGTGGTAGATGTTTTCTTCTCTAAAAAGCTTTATCGTACAAGAAAAGATTTGTTTGTTTTTTTTTTCGGATGTTATGGATGATGATGCTATGACATTCCCATTTTCACGGACAGAAAAGACCGATTTGTTTATGCTTTGTTTTATAAAATCAGAGTAATCCTTTGATTAAAAGAATTGCGGAATTTGTTCCCAAAACAAAATATGATAAGAATTTATAAAATCATTTCTTTAAAGAAATGTATTTTCATTAAATAACAAAATCTCGGGATGTCATGTTCCGATACAGACCAAAAGCATAAACAATATAAAGTAGACCTTACAACAGTTATTTATAACTACTGATCTATAATCCAAAATCTCTCGTCAAGTCCACCAACTTATACACTTGTGTCATTACCTGTAATGCAAAGAAAACTGAGTGGGTCAGGCTTGGGAGCCTGGTGAGCATATACGGTTTTCAACCCACAGTAAGATATAATATTATATTTAATCATCAGACAATCAACCCAAATTACCCATCCCCATTATCTTCTTCTGTTTCTTAAAGCTTTACCCTAAGAGTCAATTATCCTTCATTCATTCATTCCTAAGGATTGACCTAAGGGATTGGCACAAAAATCCATTTGCTTCCACGGTTTATACAACAGGCACTACGTCACATACTCGCCAGGGTTTATACAATAGGCACTACGTCTCATAGTCACCAGGGTTTATACAATAGGCACTACGTCACATAGTCACCAGGGTTTACACAATAGACACTATGTCTCATAGTCACCAGGGTTTACACAATAGGCATTACGTCTCATAGTCACCAGGGTTTACACAATAGGCACTGCGTCTCATAGTCACCAGGGTTTACACAATAGGCACTGCGTCACATAGTCACCAGGGTTTACACAATAGGCACTATGTCTCATAGTCACCAGGTATTTCATATACCCATGTTCTACCCAACATATTTGTAGATATAAAATACATATACGGTTTAAATCATTTAAAAACCTGTATAAAACATCCACTCCACACCCATCTCAAATAAACAAACAATACATAACACATAGCACGTATTTCATAGCAAATACTTCATATTTATGTGTTAGAAGAAAGTAACTACACACTCACTTGATCAGAAGATGGTTGAGCAGCACTACGGCTTGTAAAAGTAGTATTCTTCAGTGAAACCGGGAGATCTTCACAAAAACCGGGCTTCTCGCGGGCAGGGCTTCGGCCCGATAACTCTGTTTCTTGGGATCTTCGGGGCTTCGGGACTTGCTTCGGGTATCGGGAATGATACCGGGGGCTTCGGGGTATAACTTGCACGCAAAACGATGCAAAAATGAGAGAGAAAGAAGAATTTGAGCAAAAAAACTCGGCTGCTCTCGACTTCTATTTATAGGGTGTTGGTCATCGGGTTACGCTGGGCGTAACTTCCATGTACGCAGGGTGTAATGCCTCTTTCATGCGTACGCTGGGCGTACCAAGCCTTACGTTGGGCGTAATTCGGATAAGACTGCTACGTGGCGAGCTTCGGGTGGTGCTACGCGGCTCTCTCTCGGACCACACAAGGCCGAAGTACGCTGGGCGTACTCAAAGGTTACGCGGGGCGTACCCTTCGGATCAAATGGGTGAGTCACGGATTCGGATATTATCTGAATATATAATAAATTTTATATATTTTAATTTATTTAAAAACTTCAGAAAATCATATCTTCCTCATACGAGCTCCGTTGTCGACGTTCTTTATATCCACGCGTAGGTGAGACTAAGCTCTACAACTTTCGTTTAGACTCCGTCGGCTAATTTTGAATTTATTTTTATTATATTTTTTTTAGTAGGCCGGGACAGGAAAACTCCGTTATAAAATCATAACTTCTTCATCCGACGTCCGTTTTCGTCTGTCTTTTCACCGTTGGACTACTATCGACGATATCTTCGATTATCGTTTAGATTGTTTAGGCCAAATATCATTCGATCTCATATTCGAACTTTGGGCTGCACACCGCTAAGTCGAAACTTAGAAAAATCATAACTTCCTCATACGAAGTCAGATTTAGACGTTCTTCTTATGCACGCTCTCGGTTTAACTTATTCTACGACTTTCGTTTAGATCGCTAAGGCTAAATATCGCTCTATCGTAAATTCACTATTTACGTCACGCAGTTTCGTACCGGTTCTGTCACGAAACTTCGACAGGTCATAACTTCTTCGTTATAACTAGGATTTCGACATTGTTTATATATTCGGAAACCTTGCCAAGACGACTACAAGTTAGTTAAGATTATTCATTCTAAATAATCTTTTATCAAAAAGTCATTTTTGACACTTATCGTCTATAAATTGACTAGCCCAGATCTACGGGCGTTACAGATGCAATGGTGAAACAGTTGTGTGAAATTTGGTTTGGGTACCATAAGATATATGCTTCATTAGTTAGGTTTTCATGGAATGGTCATGTATCATCCCTTCCTCCTTCTATCTCTTCTAATGTTTAAAAAAGAAAGGTGTCTGTGAATTCCTATTCTATTGTAGTTAAAGGTTCTCCGGTGAATGTGAGGGTTGATCAGACTGTTGAGGATTGCATTTATCTTGCCTCGGGTGATTATGTGGTGAAAAAAAACTTGAATGTCTTGTTAAGGCAAGAGATTTCCTTACTCTACCCAACCTCCAAATGTTGTGTTTGGATGAAGGGTTTGATGAATTGGTGTTTAGATATGTTGGTGGTTTATGGGTGATGGTGGAGTTCAGTTCTAAAGAATCTTGTAAGGATTTTCTTGCTAATGAGTCTCTTGATCATTGGTTATTGGACAAACGCCCTTGGGATAGAAATTTTGTTCCTACGGATCAGTTGGTTTGGCTAGATGTAGAAGGAGTACCTTTATGTGTTTGGAGTAAAGGAGCTTTGCACAAGATTGCTGAGAAATGGGGTTCGATTGCTCATATTGATGATGATCTCGGAGAAGACGTATAAAAGAACCGGTTGTGTGTTTTGAATTCTTGTCAAGACATTATTTCGGAGGTTATGAAGGTGTGGGTGGATGATATGTCATTTAATGTTCAGATCAAGGAAACCCCTAACTGGAATCTTTCATTTTCATCCGAAGATTCTAAAATTGAATTTGATGATAGAGATGGTTGTGTCCCATTTGAAAATAAAGACAGTGTTCATGTTGTTCAAGAAAAGGAGGAAGTATCTTCTGGTTCGTTTGGTTTATATGGCACTATGGAAAAAATGAAGAATGATTAGATTGCAAATAAAAGAATAAGTAGGTTTCAATAGGTGGG